TTAGGGGTTTTGGGGTTTTGGGGTTAAGGTTTAAGCATCTTACAGGTGCGGAGTTTAGGGAAAAAAGGGCTTCTATAAGGCTTCCATAAGGTATATAGACCTTCAAAAAGGCTCCTATAACGGTAACCAGTCACCTGAAAAATGTCCTAGACCTCGGACCCATTTACCTGTAGGGTCATACCGTTACCCTTGTTAGGGCGGAGCCCCTAAACCCTGAACCTAAACCCGAAACCCGAAACCCTAAACCCTAAACCCCTAAACCCTAAACCCCTAAACCCTAAACCCCTAAACCCTAAACCCTAAACCCTAAACCCAAAGCCACAGGAGTCGAGAGCCCGATCCCGGAGACCTATAAACCCGACAGGCTAAACTCGAAAGTCTTCGCCCCGAAACCTGAAATATGAAGCCTAATGCACCTCGGGACGGGGCTGCAAAGCTTCCAGGGTTTCGTTTTTCCGGCACACCCCTAGAATCTCGAAACCGGTAGGTCCTAAAGCCCCTAAACCCTAAACCCTAAACCCTCCGCCCCCTACGTTCGAAGCCGGGCCGCCGCGTCCGGATGAACGGCAGAGATGGTCGAGACGACGTCGGCTTGTGACCGTGGGGAGATATGCCTTGCTTCTGCTGGTCGTCAAGTTCCCTTTATGTTGTCCTTCAAGAAGGGCTCCATAAGGATTTCTATAATAATAGTAATAATAATGAAAATACCAATGTTAATCATAATAATAATAATCATAATACTAACAATAATAACAATAATAATACTAATAATAATAATAATAACGGTCCTAGATTGGAGGCCTTGAATGAATAGAATCAGGTTCCTTCAGGGAGACCTATGGGTTACTCAATAAGGGTTCCGTTTAGGGTTACGGCGCCTATTTTTAAACACCCGGACATTTAAACAGCTTAAACAGATCATTTGCACTAGGTCTCACAGCACTGGCTTTGGGCCGCCCAACTTTAAAACATCCGGAAGTTTGGCTTCCTTCACCCACCATTTGCCTTCCATCCTTCGCCCTCCAACCTTCAGCCCTCCAGCCTTCCAGCCTTCCAAGCCTTCCAACCCTCCAGCCTTCCAGCCCTCCAGCCTTCCAGCCTTCCAGCCCTCCAGCCTTCCAGCCTTCCAGCCTTCCAGGCTTCCAGCCTTCCAGCCTTCCAGCCCTCCAGCCTTCCAGCCCTCCAGGCTTCCAGCCCTCTAGCCTTCCAGCCTTCCATGCAGCCTTCTAGCCTTCCAGCCCTGCAGCCCTCCAGCATTCCAGGCCTCCTTCCAGCCCAACCCTCCAGTGCTCCAGCTTTGCGGCCTTCTCCAGCTCTTCAGCGGCCAGCCTTCCCACCTTCCAGCCCTCCAGCCCTCTATCCCTCCAGTCTGCCGGCCCCTCCAACCTTCCCGCCCCAGGGAATAGAAGCAAATAAGGGTAAAAAAAATTCTTGTTCGTCGTTCCCTTCACTTCATTAAGTTCATGCGTTCACTCCCTTCACTCGTTCCTTTTAATTTTAACTCAGCTTCAGTCACTTCACATTATAAGGAAAGGATATAGGAACGAATTAATGACAGAAATCGCATGAGACAAAACATGAAAGGAAGAGAACCACCTAAGAAGAAGATCACATGGTAGGCGAAGTTACGTGTTAAGAATTGCGTGCGTCATTCCATTAATGAAAAGAAGCACAAAGGGAACGGAATGGATGGTGTCTGTAAGCTTGGAATGTAAGTCATTTGGATAGTTATTCATTGACCTAAGATGGACATTGTTGGTCAAAAAGTTCTCTTATTATGGTGTTATATCTTGGACTTAACATTAAATTTCTCCTACATCCTGATACCCTTTCCGTTCGTTCTGTTGCGCTCTTTGTTTAATACTAAATTAAGCACGCTTCGAATTCACTGTTACATTGTCTTAATTTATTTAGACAAAGGCTACAACAGCACTCACTTCAAGTATTTCAAAAGATTGAAACCTTCATGAACGACT